GAACTTAATAGAAACGTATACGTCTCTTCCAAAAAAATTTAGTTACAGACCATAGTAATGGTTTGTGAATATAATCATAATTATGATTTTGCCGCTCGATTACGTTTAACATTCCAATAAATTTTATTGCCAACCATTTTTTGATTCATCAATTTGTTTCGTTGATGCATTTGTATTTTGTTTTGTGTTCTACTCATAATCTAGTTCTAAGTCAATATAAACACAATTATCATTAATTTCATTCAGCGATTTGTACTAGATCGGATAGTAGAAGAACAGGCTGCGTTGTAATCGTCACAACATTGCAAAGGTGACGTATTTTCGAAACACAAAATTCACGTAGGTAACCGGTCAGTCGGTCTGTGCCCGCGCGAGCGCAGCCTTGACACCGGCGTTGCATCACACCTTGCGACATCCTGTCACAAGTCACCTCACGATCTCCCAGCTTTATGATCAACCTTGGAATTCTGATATGATATAATAGAATGGGTGGCGAATAAATGTCAAGTGAAATACAATTTAAATTGTTTCGGAAACATGTGGGTTAATCGCTTTTTAGCACAAAATATTGCGGAAAATATCATTTTAATTAATTCTATTGTAACGTTGGATTTGTCATCATTATTATTATTTGGTCAAAGGTCAGAAACGTATTGACTGTCAACTGAGTATTGCATGTTGCATGTCCCTCGTGGGTACAAATGAGTTACACCACTGATGACTAGTTGTTAGTCCATCACCTGTCATAGGCACTTCGTTTATTTGTATGAATTATTTAAAGGTAAGATTCTGTGAAGTCTATTCTAAAATTTAATAGCAATATTTTCCTAGAATTTAATCAATTGTAATGAACAGTAAATCCATCAAATTTAAGATAGACAGGTATGTAATGAAATAAAATAAAATACATTTTATAAATCCATTAATAACTATTCACCAGCCGTTTGAAACGCTTGCGTGTAACCACAGATTCATCAATCAATTCCCCCGTTGCAGCGGGCATGCAAGCTTATCTACCTGCCTATTTAGACGATACCCCCTTCATTATACATAATGACATTACTGCTGCAGCCATACTTTGCGAAACGTACTTCGGAAAATTTGTTCTCTTCTCTCGAAATAATTTCGTCAGCGTATAGAAAGTAGCACACGGGTTTTAATGTGTTGGGGAGAGGAGTGAAATCATTGTATTACACCAGAATTCATGTTATAGGTAAAGGAGCGATAGTTTTGCTTGGCCAAGAAGGATAGTAAAAGTTATGATAAGGAACTCACGCGTATGAATACTATGTATAAGGTATAAGCGGGAGTTAGTCATAACGTTAAACTAGATAATTAATCTGTAGCTTTTCAGAATGTTCGCGATTTTAAAGAATATATAAGTTGTGTCATTTATAGAAAAAAAACACCTGTATGAAAAATCACTACATAGTCTATACTAATATTGTAAAGAGGTAAAATTTGTTAGTTTATTGGTAGGTAGGGGCAGGTAATCTTCGGAACCGCTTGTCGGATTGCCAAAATTTTTTCACTGATAGGTAGCTACAATGTTCCTAAATGCTATAGGCTACAAAACATCACGGTTCGCAAATTCGCTTTCTTCGTCTCTACATAACTTTGTATGCTTCAATCTTTAATACTACGCAACCGATTTTGATACGGTTTTTTAATAGATAGAATGATTTAAGAGGAAGGTGTGTGTAATAATATCCATTTAATAGTACAAAAAAATTGTATCACTATTGCAGCTTCCGTGCGAAGTAGGGGCGGGTCGCTAGTAAGGTATAAATCGGAATTAGTCGTAGCACTTAACTGGATACTTAGTTAATCTGCACCTCTTCAAAATGTTCGTTGATTTGAACTTGAGTAAATTGTCTTTTTATAGAAATACATCTGTTGTATCATTGATAAAGATGAAAGATATCTAAATCTATACTCTATACTAATATTATAAAGAGGTATAATTTGTAAGTTTGTATGAAGGGGGTTATGTGTGGAACCGCTGGTCGGATTGCTAAAATTCTTTCAGCCATAGATAGCTACAATGTTCTTGAGTGCTAAAGGCTATAAAACATCAAGCCACGATTAAATGGAGCTGAGCAGCGGGTGAAAACCGCACGAGAGTAGCTAGAAAAGAAAAAAGAAAATACAAAAAGATTGCAAACATTACAGCCTTAATAATAACATCGGTACTGAAATATTTTTCTCATGTACTGTGAACCTAACTATGTAAACATTACACAAGTGCAAAGAGGAACTACATATGTACTGGTTCTGGTTACATTAGGTACATTTGATACCATGTTACGGTGTTACGTGAACGATATAGTTACGTTACAACACCCTCATTTTGACCAAGCAACGGCTTATAGATCAACTGCAGCGCTCTTCGCTGGCGTTGAAAGTGGAACTAACTTGGTGATATGCTCAAGTGCTTATCATATGTCATGTTATTCTCAAACCTGACATCAATGGTCCATAATCCATTTCTTTTTTGACAACAAGGAGTTCTTATATTGAGGTATTACAAATGAAGATGATAGATCTACTAAGATTTTGTTTGATTTTAAAATCTCAATTTTTAGTAGGTAATCACGGTCAATAACAAAATTATAAAAATAATCAATAGCAACATTAGTACTCTATCTAATACGTAAGCCAAAACCACAAAAAAACGATCACAAGAGTCAAGAGCATTAAAAAATCTTACTCTTAATCGTAGAAACTGCAATTGAATAATCAGGCCCAATCTGACGCAATGATAAACACACAAAAATCACCCAATTTGATTATGTACATATTCAGAATTCCATCATAATTTGTATGGGTGTTTCTTAAAATACTGTATTGTGGTAAGTGGGTCACTGTGTCAGCAACAAGTTGTATAAGCCTTATGTAACTGGTGACCTTGTGAAATAGCTGCGAGTTCGTTCAAGTTCAGCGTGCGTTTTTATTTTTACATCCATCGTAAAGTTTTGATGAGTTTTTTTTTTTATTATTGCTGTTCATGAACTGAGAAAACGTTCATTTGAATTATTTACTTTGCATTTTAGATGGTCATGCATGTTGCAATTACTGCAACGATAACTTGTTCTGTATTGTTTTTTTTGTGATAGAACGGCAAACAAGCAGATAACGCCTATAGACCCGCAACACCAAACGAGTAACGAGTGCGTTGCTGGACTTATGAGGATTAGGGTTTCGAAGATTTAGGGATTGGGGAAAGGGAAGAAGGATTGTGCCTCCGGTCCTCACTCACACCACGTTTTAGTTGTTTTACGTTTAGTGGCTTTTTGTGAAGCTGTGGTATCACTCCGGTCGAGCCGACCCATTATTGCCGAAACTTGGCTCTCGCACACTTAAAATTCATGTCATTCATCAAGTTTATTGTGATTTTTTATGGTATAGATTCGCAAACATGCTTTCCACCTGATGGTGAGCTTCTGCCATACCAGAGAAGATGTTCTGCAACTAAATAATATGCGCTGGCTAATAAAAATGCGTTGAGTGTTAAGAATTTGAGGGCTTAACCCTGGAGTAAGATATTGAAAGGAGGCGAATCAAGCGTACGTGGTATTCGTTAGATGATTTCAAATGACTTCAAACAGCAATTTCGTCTGTCTTTTATTAATATTTAGTTCGCATGATCATTCAAATGCATTGCCATGCTCTTTCCTAGTTCACACACACACTTCTAATCCACGTATTATAAGACAATAGATCCTTGCCAAGAATTCCATGTAATGTCTTGACTAGAAATCATTTACTTCGATTCCCATTGAACGTGACAAGAATAGCTCTTCAGATTATCATAATTAGGTACATCGAGTGTTATGTGCATGTATTAGGAACTATATAAGCATACTTAATATAGTATATTATGCCTGTGTATTGTAATTTACATAAATAACTATGTTTTAAGACGTAATTACTAGTTGTTTATCATAAGAAATAGTTTTGCTCTTGTGGTTTTGTACAATTTAAGCTGCTTAAGAACCTCACAGACAAATATTGTTGTATTACAAAAAAATATACATAGAGTAATCTTATGAGTATCCAAATTGTAAATATTTTATTGGCATTTATTTAATACGAGCTTAATTAAATTGGATACTAATAATCTTTACTAATACTAATATACAAAGAGGAAAGATTTTATTGTTTCTGTGTTTTAATTGGAAAGGCTCCATAAATACGAGATTAATTTGAAAAATGCTTTTACTAAGAGCAACCTACACTATCCTCAATAAACATAAGCCCTAAACTACGCAGTCCAAACTCCAGTGAAGGTAGCCCCAGGGAGCATTTTTAAAAAGTTTACCTACTTTAGAAAGTTCTGTGATTGGTCAGTCTGCCTCACCTTGTGTGCTTTACGTAACGGTAACTTCGCTTATGTATGCATTGTTTATATTTGTATGCAAATACTATGTTTTGAAACGACTCGATTTGGGTGGCGCATGGCGTCGAGAGCAAGAGTGTTGTCATTAAGCATGCCCTGCTATGCATGTTGATTGCAATATCTCTAGTAAAGCTGTTTAGGTTTTATTACTTTCAGGGCACTGATTGTGCAAGTTTATTCATGTTATTTTGTAGGTGAGAGAACTGAAGGACGCTATGTCTGGATAATCATTATCTACCGTAATCAGTCCTACTAATAGTATAAATGTGAAAGGGTACAAACTCATAATTTTAAGAATGTTGGCTACCTCTTTTCTGGCTCATATATATCTAACGAATCTAACTTATCATAATAAATGAATAGTGTATGGATGTATGTATATTGTTATTCTTTCATGCAAAAATTGATGCACATTGCACCGATTTGGTTGCTTCTTTTCCGGCATACCATGCGGGCGAAGCCGCGGGCTGAAGCTAGTCATCAATACAAGACAAAGTTACTTTCATAATTGAATCACTAAGGGTTCTTAATACGAATAAATAGTTAGTAAAAAAACCGTTCATGTTCACAATTTTAACAAAACCTTTTTTCTATTTTCCAGCGGAATACATAGTACCATGCAGTCAAACCGATCCTGGACTGGACACCTGTATAAAAAACTCGTTCAACCACCTTAGACCATACCTGTCAAGGGGTATACCTGAACTGGGAGTACCTCCTGTGGAACCACTCTTTATTGATCGCCTGGTGATGGAGAACGATGCTGGTCCTGTCCGAGTCACTGCTGCCTTCAGCAACATCACAGTCGTAGGACCTAGTAATTATACCATTACTAAAATCAGGTAAGACTATCGTTTTAAGATTAGTTCTTGCTGCATTCAATGTAGGAAGTAAGCGTCTGCAATCGCAAATAGTTTCTATGTATTTACTAAGTTTAATGTACATATGATTACGTTTTAAAAAGCAAATTCTACTCATATTATAAACGTGAACTTACGGATGTCCTATCATATAAAAACTACTGAATGCATTTTGATGAAGGTTTGGCTGACAGATAGATTTTCATCTGGAAAAACACATAGGCAGATAGCCATTACCCATCCAACGCGGACGAAGCCAATAGCAGAAGCTAGTTTTAAATTGAGTAGGTAGCTATATTTATTCCATAAAGAGAACACGATTTTTCATGAATTCCATAAAGATAAAGAGTACCTACTCCAAAAAATATAAAAGAACAAACTGTATTATATTATATATTCAGAATCATAATGTTTTGTCTTTAGAACCAAGACTAACAGTTAACAGCCATTTAGAAATATATTTAAAGCTAGTCTCTCGATCAAGACTGTACATTATTTATTGAAAAAAAACTATAAATAGAAATCGGTAATTAATCAATCTAGAACGATAAGTCAATTACAAGGCGGCATTTCGTAATGTTTAATTAGAAACGTTAATTTTGTTGTAAGCTGAAAATCTTAAAGAGCAGGGAAACCGGGTCAAGTCTGTGTTCGATATTGGCAACAGATAAGTATAAAAATTGCTAAAATGTTGTAAGATACGCCTTAATAGTGAGTCAAGTGGATTTCGTCAAGTTTTCGTAATACCTACATGATCATTACAGTTGACAATATTACCAAAATTATTATAATACTCGTAGTGCTCTAGAAAGTATTCAAATAAAAATTATCCACAAAATTAAAACACGAAGATAAAAATTGTAGCAACACCTTTGCTACGCACATAATAAAATAAGTTTTAGTTTAAAGCGCATTTCTTTTTTTTATTTATTCACCATTCAAATAATTGGATAGGTACTTATTAAAAAAAAACAGAAAAAGCAACCAAAAAATCATCAATTTGTGCTAAGATAAGAAGTGTCTATTTTTCGCTGTATGTACAAGTCTTCTTACAATGGGAACATCTATGACTAGGTATGTTGTTCAGCGCCTTTTATATTGCTTGGCTATCCATTTGAGTGCGACTTACACAAGCACATACATATTATAATAACAATTGGAATGCCCATAAATGCGCAGCTCAATCGCTTATTGGCTAATGCCCATCTTTTACTGCTTCACAAAACATTTCTAAATAAGGTATCTATATAGTCTTTAACTGGTTATTCGATCTACCCGTCACAAATTTTCATTTCTTTGTGAGGGGAAAATCATCAAATTAGGAAAATCTTCCGCGCACGGTGGTGCGAGAGGAATTGTCTGGACTCTTACTGACTAAAAACCCCTTCGTTCCTTCTCCTGCTCTAGACCGAGGCAGCCTTCCTTCCTTCATCGTCATGTTCCTTCATGTTAATTATATGTATGACATAATTATGGTACCAGTCTTAGTCATCACCAGAAGGTCTTCAGTTCAACTCTCCTATGATAAAAGTAGTAATAAACGAAGAAGAGAAGAAGAAGAAAGAAGAAAATACATTTATTTAGACGAACATTTAATAAACGAAACTAAACTATTTCCTGATTCTAAACAAAACATCTCAAAATAAATACGTAAATAACAGTCATTACGTTTCAAAATGAAATAATATTGCATTAGGCATATAAAAACGGTGGGAATTTTAACATGATGACAGAATTAGGAAAACAAAACATTTCACAAGTTCGGAATGGCAGCGTGAGACAATTCGAGCGTAAAGGCCGAATTTTGTAACTACAAACTTTAAATCACAAAGGGACAGATGAAATAGTTAATTTCGTTCTACTTAAGATGTCACGTTTTAAAAAGTATTTCATCTCAACTAAACAATTTATAAAGATATAAGAGACTTGCTTTTGCCCGCGACTTCGTTCGCATTGAATATTGACTTCCTGCAGATTTTTGACATAAAAACTATCCTTTCTCATATTCCAAACTATGTCTGTACCAAATTTCACAGAAATCGATTCAGTAGTTTAGGAGTGAAGAAAAGACAGACAGACAGACAGAGTTACTTCCGCATTTATAATATTAGTTAGAATGGTTAGGATTAGAGTGTTGTCGTTGCCGGCTATCTAATCATTCACATAAATTTAATTACATTAAATATTGATATGAGTCATCATACGAACAACTTTATGGGTACCATTCAGCCTTAGACTAATATCAGAAATTAGAAATTCCCCTGATTCAGAAATAATTTATAACTTTATAACATTATAATAACCAAAAAAAACTTTTTTATACACAATCTTCTATAACTTAAACTCTTGTATGCAGGTCTGACTTGAAGAAGCTGCGTATTGACATGGGTCTGGTTCTACCCCGGATTGAGATCACTGGCAGATACGAGGTCTCTGGACAGGTGCTGCTCTTCCCCGTCAGGTCACAAGGAGACTTCTGGGCTTCATTCGGTAAGTACAGTATTTTAAGTTTGGAAGAACATTTTGCAAGTCACATTCATCATCATCATCTTCATTATCACCAGCCCAGAACTTTTGTGTACTTCCTGTGTCCAAATCCAAATCGTAAACTACATATGTCGCGTCAAAAAGCCTGCATGTAGGCTTCTACATTAAGAGTGTTGTATTTATAACAAATGACAAAGTGAAGCGTGTGCAACTAAATAATAACTTGCCAAAACGTATAAGACTTTTGAACAGTAGGAACCACGAATGTGGATGATTTTTTTTGTCATGGTTTTATTGAAATGACAAAAAATATGCATTTTGAAGAAAATAAGCATTACCAGACCATAACAGAGTATTATGGTAATGATGATGAGTCTGAGCAAGGGTCTAGTTAGTCTGTTATTAAAATAAAAATGGATAGGTAATTTAACAGCAGTTTGTCAGTTTAGTTAAGACTTTGTTAACTTTGATGTTGAATTACTCGTGGATGTTCAGGGAACGGTTTACGTTTAAAAGGTGAGAAAACGTGTAAAATTGCTTGTATCACTAAAATGTTAATTCGCTTTTTCGTACATACTGTTCTGTAAGTGTTCCAAACCAATATTATAAATGCGAAAGTAACTCTGTCTGTCTGTCTTTTCTTCACGCCTAAACTTCTGAACCTATTTCTGTGAAATTTTGTACAGACATAGTTTGGAACTCGAGAAAAGATATAGGGTAGTCTTTAAACCAAAAATCCGCAGGGAGTCACTATTCCACGCGAACAAAGTCGCGGGAAAAAGCTAGTATTAAATATTTGTTAAGAAATAAAACTGTCATTATTATACTTTCTGAGGTGGTGGTAGTCTGTTTGCTATTTCAGCTAGTATATTAGGTAATAACTGCAAATAAAATTATTACTTACATGGAAGTATTAACTATTTTATTACATGTAGAAACAGCTTTGAGATTAATATTCTTAATTAGAATTCTTAGTATTTTCCAGACTTTGTTGACGTGATTTATTATTTTATTAGGTAAAAAATTGATTATTACGAAGGTTAAGATGCACGAAAGACATTTATATGTAGCCAAAGACAATATTTATTAAATTAATACCGGGGTCACATTGTGAATTTCCGGGTCCAGTACATATTTATACTGCTTAAGTGATATTTAATCTGGATAAGCATATTTGTGTAAGTAATGGCGATGATGACAATGACAAATTTAGTTTTGAGGCCAAAGTTCAATGCCAAGGCCACACAACTTTTTAATTAGATTGCTATTTTAGCTTGATTTGTATAAGCCTTCAATGCCATCGGACAAATAAAAATTTCTTAAAACCAATTGTTTTTTTCGACTATGATTGTAATTGAGGTTTTACACGAAACAAATTCTGTTAATGTAATATTTTTATTATATTTACAAAATATAATTCTAGTGTGCATTTTATTGCCGCCGGATTTATTATAACAAACATATAAAATAAATGTAGACTTCTACATTTTATTTAAATTTTTCAACATCACAGTTTTGAGTGATTTGTTTGTCAGATCATTCGCGATCAACATTCATAATTACCTATTAAGCTAATTACTTTACCACCTAACTGTTGGCTGTGAGACTTCACTAATTTCAAGCCACGCTAGGGACTCATATATGTACATTCAGTCAACAAAGTATCGGGAATGAATGTTTTTTTTATGGTTCCAAATTCGAATTTTATTTTTTTTGTTGTTGTTAGATTGGCATAACTGTTTTCCATTTTGGCGCGGAATTTGAGTTGCATCTGTTATTTATATTAAAACAGTGCTGTTTTTAGTTTTATAATATCTAGTGTGTATTGCGAATTTCATAATGGACAAAAACATCGAACAAAGAGTTTGTCTTAAATTTTGCATCTACAATGAAATTTCGTGTTCGGAGGCACTCAAAATGTTACAGAAGGCTTACGGTGAATCGACTTTATCAAAAACACGTGCTTATGAGTGGTACAAAGCGTTCAAAAGCGGTCGAGATGTGATGGAAGATTTGCCTCGTTCTGGTAGGCCATCAACGTCTGCAACTGAAGTTAACATCGCAAAAGTGAAGGAAATAGTGACTGAAAATCCTCATTCAAGTTTGAGAGAGATGGCCGCCGAACTTTCTGTATCTCACGAGTCGATCCGTAGGTACCATTTTAACAAATAATTTGGGTATGAAACGTGTTGCCGCTCGGCTAGTCCCAAAAGACCTGAATTTCCTTCAAAAACTAAATCGCATGAAAGTCGCTGAGGACATACTAGAACGAGTCAATACCGACCCAACATTCATGAAATGCATTGTTACTGGTGACGAGACGTGGGTTTACAAGTTTGACATGCAAACTAGTCAACAAGCTTCGGAATGGCGCCTTCCAACTGAACCAAAACCGAAAAAACCACGTCAAAGTCGATCAAAAGTCAAAGTCATGTAGACTGTTTTCTTTGACTATCGCGGTGTTGTGCACTCAGAATTCTTTCCCGAAGGTCAAACGGTAAATAAAGAATATTATTTGAGCGTTATGCGGCGTTTAAGAGAACAAATTCGACGAAAAAGGCCAGAAATGTGGAAAGAAAATTCTTGGATTTTGCATCACGATAATGCGCCTTCGCACAAGGCCATCATTGTAAACGATTTTTTGTCCAAACACTCAACAAACACCATCGAGCAGCCACCATATTCACCAGATATGGCTCCAGCCGACTTCTTTCTTTTTCCCACACTCAAATTACCCCTTCGTGGCACCCGTTTTCAATCGTTAGAAGACATAAAGGAGAATTCGCGGCGAGCACTGAACTCAATTCCGGAAACAGCGTTTAAAAAAAATTTCGATGATTGGATTATTCGTTGGCGTAAGTGTATCGTTTCTAAAGGAGCATACTTTGAAGGTGATAAAATAAATTTAGATGAATAACAAACATTTTGTGTATTATTGACCTTTTCCCGGTACTTTCTTGACAGAGTAGTATATCATAATCAGCGTTACGCGACACAAAAAAAACATCCTTTTGTATGAATATATTACAACATGCAAAACTGATCTTCTTTCTAGGTGATGTGGTAGCGATCGCAAAGATCTTCGGTAAGGAGACGACACGTGACAATGTTAAATACATGTTGGCTGACAGACTGCTGGTAGATTTCAAGTTGAGGACCTCGAGGTTCAAGGTGAAGGACACTGTTAACCACGGCAGCGTTATTGGTGAGTCTCCTACCCTGATGTACTTATAAATGCTGATTCTGATAGTGATGGCAATTCTATCTGTAAATCTTAAGAAAATAATGCCTACTCTATTTAATTCTTATTTTCATTCAAATTGAAATTATTTTCAATAAAATCCTAATAAACTGTTTTATCATCATCAGCCTGATTTCGTCCACAGCTGGACATAGGCCTCCCAAATTGCACGCCACTGAGCTCGATGTTCAGCTCTTCTCATCCAACCAATCGTCATTCCTTCTAGCTGAATATAATTAGTTTCATCATATTTTCAAACATTTTTCTTCACTAGTATTTCATTTGGTGTCGTAGATGCGTTGACTACTACAGGAATAACTACACTCACAAGACAAAATTATAATTTCCCTAACTTTAATCGAAACCTTTTAATATTACAGGTGAAGCGATGAATCAGTTCTTGAACAACAACGCAGCTGAGATCATCGAAGAGATGAGGCCAGCTGCCTCAGCGTCCATAGCCAAACATTTCCAAGCGTTTGTGAACGCTGCCTTCTCCAAGATCCCCATCGACGTGTGGCTCACGCCTTAGACCAGTCTCAAAGAATTTCAAGTCAGTGTTTTAAGATTTAGTTCCTGGATTCTTATCTTTCTAGTTTTCGAATTCTTCAGTGGAATTGGAATTTTAGTTATACATTTTTATCCTACCGATGTTTCACAAACTGAGCAATTTTCATTAAATTTTAAAGGATATGTCACCTTCGGAGAATTAGAAGCCATACCTTTAATTACATTGGTTTTTAGTTTTTCTTGTCCTTTTCAAATTTTAACGTTCGATAATACGTTTTATTTAAGAACATTTTCGCTTTTTGTGTTCAATATCGTGTTAAGATTCACAACCCTTATTATATGTGTCTCTTTCTCAAACATCTTCTTTAAAATTGTCAGTACTATCTTTAAATTCCATGTCCAGTTCATTGAAGAATTTAAAAACTAGCAATGTTGGTTTCCCGGTATGTTTAGTGTTGTGATGTGTTCCAACAAATTTTGTCACCGTTTCATAGACTTTATCTTGACTAAATTCTATCTTCATCTGTATAAGTGAATAGTACAAATCATATTGTTTGTTTGTTTCCTCAATGTCTCTGGAATGTTCTGGAAGACTGTTATTTTGAATCTTTTTAACAACGTCTTTGGAACTGTTTTACTCATCCACCGTGTTTTTATATGATTTTTGTAGAGTTCCAAGATCTCAACTTTGTTACTTATTATGAGTTCGAACAAAACTATTATTGATACAAACTCCTTTGTAGATTTCTTTTTAAATTGCTTTTGTCTACTTATAAAGTATTTTGACGTTACTTAAACAATCTTGGATACGATGTAATTGTAAAAAAACATTGTCTACAATGGCTTTACGTTTGAACATTTTACATTGACGCTTCAGTTAATACTTTTTCTTACCACTTCATACAAATACAGCAATGAATACTAAAGTAATGTCATTGTGTACTTATTAATTAGCCACGCAAAGGGCATAAGTTTTATTTATTTAAGTTTTAAGTTACTTAGTGATCACTCGATACTTTGTAAAATGTACTTAAACTTTGTACTTAAGACGTTAGGATTAAATATTTGTAATAACGATTGTGATGATTTAATTGTACTCAGTTGTAAGAATATAATTATTATTTACAAGTTTTGTTTGTTTTATTATACCAAGGTCGACGATTTTGATACGTTTTTGAGGAAGTTAGATGGTATTATTAGCTTGAATGAACCAAGAATAACATAAAGATGATAACATTTAGATGAACAGTAGCCACAAGAAAGGTGGGTAAAAAATAGGTATTCTAGTACTATATGCCTACAATTTTTTTACGACCTGCCTCAGCTTTGGACGGATGCAATGCTGATTCTAAATTTTTCCATTATTAAATGGATGTTATTATACATATGTACATATAAACCATCTTCTTCAATCACTCATCATTTAAAAAACCGCATCAAAATCCGTTGCGTGGTTTCAAAGATTTTAGCATACCTAAGGATATAGGGACAGAGAAAGCGACTTTGTTTTATACTATGTAGTGATAGTCAAGTACGTTATCACCTACATTTCATTACTAACCGAGTAGCCGACGATAATGACGAAGGTTCAAATCAAAATACCATTGACACAAGAAAAACAAAATTAAAAACTAATTTACTAATAAAAAAGTTTTTTTAATAAATAAATAAAAAAAACAAGTAGGTACAATCAAAGAGATTCTATAAACAATATAACTTGAGATCTACATAACATACTATGCTTAATTGGATAGAATATCGTCAGCGTTTAAAGTAGAGAATGTGTGATCTGCTAGAGGCTTCAAGAAGTCCCTCAGAGCTACTTCCATGGGCGTCTGCAGCTCTTCGATCAACTTCTGCCAGTTGTCATTGAGGAACTGGTTCAGTGAATGACCTGAAATCAAATAATGTAAGCTATGTTGTATTTTATGAAGGAAGAAAAGTAAAAATAGAAAATGGTTTGTAACTAAATACAATTACTAGGTTTTTCCAGCGCGCATCTTCTTACATATAAAAATAGATCGCAAAATGTGTTGGTGAGCGCATAACTCAACAACGCCTGGATCAATTTTGCTAATTCTTTTTTTGTTGTGTTTGGTATTGACAGGAGAAGGTTCTTAGCAAAGAAAATATTAGAAAATTAAGGTGGAAGATTAGAAAAAAGTGACCCTTTGATATCGAGATAGTTGGGCCCATGGAAAGCGGGGGCGGGCCGCTAGTTCTAGAATATAAAGGCAGAAAAGGGGTGGCTGAAAGCCAGTAAGAGTTTGATACTCCCTTACCGAGTGTGGTGAGAGTAAACATGACTTTCTCTCGAAAGAAGGACTCGGTCTACGATCTATCTCTATGCTTATTTTCATCATAATCCGTTTATGAATGAAGAAGTAACTTACCTACCATACTTACTATGCACTTACTATCTTTTGCGATTTTATTTTAGCGAGTTTTTTTTTGTGACACTAAATACTTTTCGCCTATACTAACATAAGATTATAAATCTATAATTTAGAATAACTTCATTCAATAATCAAAAATTATGTCACTTACACACGGTTTCCGAAAGGCCGATCAATGTTAAAATCAATTTTATCTCTTGTCAAGTCATCTGATTGGTTGTTGATAATTTTAGCATTGACAAGCCTTTCAGAAACCAGGTGTTAATAGAATAAGTACTATGATTCGAAAACAATAATGTCTAGTGGTTTCATATCCCTCACTAAGTTATTTTAGTTTCTGATAATCTTCATTAAAGTATAGGTTGACGAGAAATTTCTGTTATAAAATATTATACAGCATACCATAAATATATGGTTAGGAAACATAATCGCATTTAGTTGCAACATTGTTAATTATTCTTAACAATATTATTTCTTAACTTGCTCCTTACATAATGTATATAATAATATATTATTTAAAACGACGCAACACATGCCTACTTCTATTAAAGTTACTTTTACGTAAGTACTTTGTCTTGTTATTAATAAGTAACTACAATAAGACTTAGAGTTTAATTAACAACGTCTGTGGTGTGAAGAAAAAGGTATTTTGATTCTTGTAGGGAAGGTAACTAATTCTATTTTTAATTGTTTTGATGATATGCGTTAATAGGTTGTCATAATGACCGACCTAAACATATTAGTTTTGGTTAAATTTATGTTCTAACCTTACATATCTACGAGTATTATGTAAAATAACGATAGGATTGACATTGCAATGTGTGGGATGTATTTCTACACTTAACGTGTGAAAGTCACTTTAGTTAGTTATTTAATAAATGTGAAACGTCGTAATCTGCCGTGTGAATGCGGTTACCGGAGGCCCAATCTTTCCCATCCCCCGATCCCTAAATCTCCAAATCCCTATTCTCCAAAAAACCCAGCAACGCACCTTCACCTCCTTTCAACTTCTACCTACATTCCCAAATATTCACAAGAACCAACAACTGATAGAAAGTTAATATAACAATGATTAACTCTACTTACTGAACTCATCATCTGCTCCGAATAGGTTGCCTAGCTTCATTGTCGCGTGTCCGACATGGAAGGAGACTGCCAGGTCTTCACATTTGAGGGCATCTACGCCGTTAGGGCGAGGCTGACGTCCCAGTATTATCGTCACTGTCGCATCGATGTCACCTGAGAAAAAAGGCAATGATATGAAATATTTACGTATGCTAAATATTAGAAGAATCGTTGAGTTTAGCTCGAGCGCAGTGATACCCAAGGTTCACAGGATACCAGCGTGAAAAACTCACGTGGTTTTTACAGCTCTCGAAAACTGTCTTCTCATCCTTAATCCTTTAATTCATAATAACACAATTAAGGCCGGCAACGCAGTTGTGGACGGCGCCGATTGCTTACCATCAGGTAATCTATAGATAATAAAATAATAAAACCTTCAGGAAATATAGGTATGTGAAGACGTCATATCTGGTTTCACTTTGGAAAGGTAACAAACCCGACTAAACTCGCATTAAAAAAAATGGAATAAACTTAAAGTTATTAAAAATATATGTATAATCCCAGGATTTTGTTACCCATATTCTATTTTTATCAATATGATTTGATTTTTTTCTATCCAGAGACTTCTCTGATAATTCACAAAAGAAATGAAAAACTCATGGCACAGACCAAAGACATTCTAATACTTATAGTTAGTATTAATAATAATTACCATATTTAGCAGCGAACTGTCCCTGTCCATCAATGGGCAGCATGAGGAGCTTGCCTGTCACCCTGTAGTTGCCAGTCATCTGCAGATCAGGGATGTACAGTCTCGCCACTACGCGACGCAGTTGTATGCTAACACTATAACAATTATCCATATTTTATTGTCATTTGTCTTTATTGTATTTGGAAGCCCTAGATGCTGAGAGAGAGAGAGAGAGATAGATAAAGAGAGAGAGAGAGAGGGGACAGCAGAATAAAATTATTATCATAGTCATTAGTTATTTCCCTGCTGTACTCCATCGCGTCGTTAGAGTCGACTAAGGTAATGTACCTACATTTGGCAGTCTTTTCACCGGTTTTATACCATTGAGTCTGGATTTGTTGATAAGTCTACTATTTAAAGGGAAATTGTACTTACTCAACATCTTTCACTCGCATTTTGGAAGGTCCTTGTACTGTCACATTGGAGTAACTGGACCTCACAGATATGGGGCCTGAGGACTGCTGGATGGAGAGGGCTGGCACTATCAGGGGCTCGCATGGTGGTACTCCGTACTCTGGCACTCCTATAATTAAGTTCAGATTGTAGTTGCGATCAGACGACACGATGCATGAGGACTTAGGGACTTAGGGCGGCTATTTACGATCGACGATTTAGTGACACTAACCGCTGAAGAGCGATCATAACACCCAATCTATCGGAACTTAAGGACCTACTTACTTTTGCCCACGACTCCGTTCGCGTGGAATAATGACTTTCAGCTGATTTTTGGTACAAAATTTTTCCTATGTCCTTTCTCTAGTTCCAAACTATCTCTGTACCAAATTTCACAGCAATCGGTTCAATAGTTTAGGAGTGAAGAAAAGACAGACAGACAGAGTTATTTTTACATTTATAATATTAATATAGAAGAGAATATGAATCGTGTCGTCTAGGCGGCTTATTATTTTAGGTTCTGACGATTCGAGTAATTATCCGACCTAGCCTAAAGGCTTTAGGTTGGTACCTATTGTTAATAGATCCACACAAAAAGGTTTATAATTGAAAGTAATTTTATTAAGTTGCGTCTTTAAATTTCGATCCAAATTACCTACGATTTTAAAAATAATTAATACAAAATAAATATTAATTTAAGAACTATGAAAACGGAATACAAAGAGTATTTACATTTACCAATGAATAACAAAATAAGATAAAATGACTTGTTTAAATGATATATTATAATGTTGCGTTTTCTCTACCTGTTGCTAGTTGAGGAATGTAGGCGTTCAGCGCATCGCGGAGACATCTGCCTAGTGCTTTCTCTTCTCTGGGACACACGAATTCACCGACTGTATAATGTTAATAAATATAAATCACATGTATTAAACATATTTCACACAACACATCAATACCTATAATTGCCTATTGATCAGCAAAGGCGAATTAGCGATTTCAAACTTGTTGTCCATGTGTCTTTACGATGTTTTCCTTAGCAGTACCTAGGTATGTCAGTAATGTCTAAATAATAATACATATAGGTATGTATCTGTATATGATGTGCAAAAAAATACCTATATTCGACTGGTAGATTAAACTATTGTTTAAATTATTAGGTATTAATAGTCTACAATAATAAATTGTGTGCTTTTTTTTAGATATTTTTTGTATTACATCTATCTCGTCCTCTTTTATATTTGTCCAAAGGCAGAGGCATTCCAACGGGTTATTTGTTAACACATCAACAGCAACTTATTTACTAGTTTTCTATTCAAATATGCTATCTGATATCAAAAACATAACGTCACAACATAGTTTTTATACTCAATTTTACAATCAAAAACACGAAATTTTTACTACTTTTTAACTTACAAAATCCATCTACTTAAGATACCTTAAAGTGGGTAAATTTCCGAAACATTTTTCAACTAACCTAAACAAAACTGCCACTGACTCTATTTTCTCTTTGGCACTTTACATGTATATATAGATGTGGATTATATATATATATATACTTACAATTAATAAAGTCCTTATCAGCAGCAGCCACGAATGGAACCAAAACGAAAAACAAAGCGAACCACATTTTTAACGACTACTATCAACTACAAACCAAAATCAATATAATAATTTAAGATCTACAAATGATTTAAATATAAAAATGGGACGTGATGATAATCAAAATCGTTACTATCATCATCTTAATGAGAGATAACGCACAATCAATGAAGAAATCATTTGTCACATGTCGTACAGATTCAGATAACTTTATTTAGTAATAGTTTTTCTTATCTCTCAAAGGTGGATTGTTTGCGTAATACATTTACCGGAGACGCAATGCTTCCATTCTCCAATCCTAAAATACCAAATGGTCAGCAACGTTCCGGTAACTCCTTTTGTGTTGTGGGTGTGCAAGGGCGACGATTGCTTACTCCGTTCTGATCAACAGTAGGTACTAAGTTTAGTGTTTGATGATAGGAAAATAGGTTTTAAACTAGGGCCTATAAGATAAGTAAGTAACTGAAATACAAAATACAAATGGCAGTGTGACACAAAAACAGGAAATAAAAGTCTCTGTCTGAAAAAGTGGAAAAAAGATATATTGGGCCATTAATACAGCGGGCGAAAATAAGTTTAATAGTTCTTCCTTAGTCATTGTTGAAATAAGAAACATAAGTAATCATGTTATCTATTGATAAGAGTTGCAGTAAATTGTTGCGCTGCCAGGATATTGGATTACTTTCCATGTTAAAAAAATCCTTAAATATATCTATACTAATATTATAAAGAGGTAAAATTTGTAAGTTAGTATGTAGGGGGTATTGTTTGGAAGCGCTGGTCGCTTTGCCAAAATTCTTTCAGTGAGAAATGGCTACAATGTTCCTGAGTGCTATAGGCTATTTAGCATCACGCTACGACCAAATGGAGCCGAGCAGCGGGTGAAACCGTGCGAGATTAGCTAGTTACTTATATGTTTTTTTATGGAGGTAATTTTATACACATAATAACAAATTTTCTTCTCTCTACCTGGGTAAGGCATCAGGGATTGTTAGATTCTATAGTGACTGAAAACCAACCCCGTTCCTTCATGTGCTCCAGGTCGGGGTTGCGCTTAACCCGCTACCCCGACTGAACATCAGCCCTTTTGGGCTCTGTCTATGTGGGCTGTATGTCGATTTGTAGACCGTTTACCCTAGTTGGATCCAGCAAACAGACACCACCTGTCATGTTATGCATACAGTTTTACATTTCTAACAAATAAACAGTGTTTCAAAACTAGTTTGTCAACAACATTAAAACACCTAGACTGTCATAAATTCTCTCAAAACACGTATTAGACTATTACGAAATTAAACCTTACAATTAGCGCATTAAGTATAATTTTCCACAACTTCAAGCCTAATTACTTAAATATTAAATAATTTGCGACCGTAAGAAGTAACAAACAGAGACGAAAAGTGACAATGCAGCTTGCATTTTAGCGTCACGTTGTCGGGTGTTTGACCTAAAAAGCAACATTATTCATGTAATTTGAACCTTGGGTTAATTTAAAATAGAGTTGATATTAATTCGTTGTGTTTAATGTTGTAAGACTGATGTAAGTAGGTAGGCTTGTCCGCGTGGCCCAGTCGGCACATTGGCACACTTTAGGATCGTTACACAATCACCTTTTTGTTGTAGTAACTCGGTTGTAATACTATCACATCGTGATCATCAAAAAAATGTTCTAATTCATTTTTTCCCTTGCTTAACATCGTTCGTGTATTATTCATTGATTGCTTTGAGAGTTCAGTGCTCTGAAGCACGACTGTTCATTTTGAAGCTTAGAGTTCGAATCCTGATCGAGATGCCAACAGAGTTAGAATCAGTTTTAAAAAATAAAAATGATTAATACTATTTCCACAGATTATTATTATAAAGAAACGGCCTACAAATAAATTTGATTTTTATCACCACCATCTATCTAAAAAGAACATAAGTACCTAATTATCAACAAAATAAGTAATCGCTTCTTTCACATAAGAAAAACCACATCCGCTATTACTTCAGAAAGAACAAAAAGAAATGCAATACTTAAATTAACACGCGATAATTGTAGTTTTAACTAAATGTTAATTAGAACGTGAACAAGAATACCCATCTTTATGGTCAACTTTATGTAACAGAGTACACCTTCCCTTTATGCGCCATTTTGAAATTCTGACACTACATACCATGTAATATGCATGACGTGCTGTAGTCATTTTAAATAGTATTAGTCAGTGAAGATGATAAAGATATATACACTTTGGTTACAACATAGACTTTATAATTTAGGTATTTTATATAATTAAAGTATTGAGTCGTGATTGTCGTCCGTCAGATTGTTAGTGACGAAACAAGACTTTGTTGCTTTCCCTGTTCCAGTCCTAGGCCGCGGTTCGTCATTGCGCTAGCCCCGCAACCCTGGCTGAATATCGCCATCTGTGATGTATCTAATATTTATGGTATCAATATAGTCTATTATAAGTAACTAGCTAATCTCGCGCGGTTTCACCCGCTGCTCGGCACCATTTAACCGTAGCGTGATGTTTTATAGCCTATAGCACTCAGGAACATTGTAGCTATCTATCAGTGAAAGAATTTTGGCAATCCGACCAGCGGTTCCAAAGATTACCCCTTACATGCAAACAAACTTACAAATTTTGCCTCTTTATAATATTAGTATAGATATAGAAGTACAGATTAGTACAGAAGAAAGAAAATTGCAAAAAAGACTTTGTTTATTCCATTTTAATGCAATAAATTATATACACACTCACACACAACATAACCTTATAATAAATATTAAATAATACATTTTATCAATGGATCTACATTATTTCACTTACATAATTTACACGTAAACTACGTAATTACTGTAATTCGTGTTTGAGTAAATGCTTGTGAATGAAGATTATTATTAAACTTCTTCTTTTAACATTTAAGTTCTTCTTTTAACTATTCTCTCCATTTTAACAGTTTAACATATTGCTAACAATTATCATGTTGACGATTTCAATTACATAAACCATGTCACATTTTTTTACAATTCGTAATCATTGATTTTCTTTCATACATTTTAAATACATAGACACACAAACCACACAGCCTTATCACACAACAAAAATATGCCGAATTGTATACAATTACATCATAATGCAAAAATAACTTATTTCAACATTTCCCAGAACATGAGCAAAACACAATATATCAATGGTAACATTATAAAAACTTTGAAATATTTACTTAGTTGGCAAATACCATGTCTGGAGGAATATGCTTAAGGAATTTGTTGGCGACATCCTCCAATACCATGGCGAGAGCAGTTTCAACAGCTGGCTGGACTTCCTTCGCGATATCCATCGAGTGCATCTGCGCTATGTGGTCCGTTATCATTTCTGGAAAGACAAGAAAAGACATGGTCATTATCAATAACACATGAACACTATTGTTTGTGTGAAAAGGCGGCTGATGAGTAGACCTGATAGTAAGCAATCAGCGCCACCAATGGAGACCCGGTTTGAGGGTTAGGGATTTAGAGAATTTGGGATTAGGGAGGGATTGAGGAAGATTGGGTCTCCAGTAACCTCACTCATACGGCTAAACATAACGCTGTGGTTGTTTCACGCCGGTTTTCCGTGAGACCGTAGTATCACTCAGACCGAGCCGACCTATTCGTGCCGAAGCACGGCTCTTTTACACTTAATTTCGATCAAATGATTCCAATTTCAAAATTCGAAATAGTTCTTCCAAGTCCTTAGTTATATAATAAACTAATCTATTTTAGGGACCTTATGAAACAAAAAGTGACTCACCCATTTCTCCAGTAGTAGAGTGTGCTTCCATGAGACTAGCTTTCAAAGGTCCCGTACACTTCAAATGCACACTTGCATCACGGATAACCATCCTCTTATGCACCCTCGCTCCCAACGCTTCCAAAGCCGCCGTGCATTGAGCTGAAATTAAAAAAGAATCAGTAATATTACGACGGAGATATTGACCTTGAGAAACCAAAAAGAGAGAATTAAAACTAGTTTCAGTAGAACCCAAGTGTGTTAATGATGCAACTTTTAGAATGTCCTTGACCAAAACTGTGATATAATGTTTTACCTAACGCTCATGTTTTCCTATCCATGTATATTTTTTTATATTAACCAAGAAGCACATTCAATTAAACTGCTAAGATAGATAACTCTTTCAAAGTTGAACTTCAAGTTATTAAGAGAGTCTGCTAATTTGCGGGGTAAGAGCAATAAGGCACCGCGGCCGCAGCCAAGAGCAGGGGAAGGAACGGGGTGTTTTAGTTTTAGTAAGAGTATCACAAACTGTGACGATCTTAGAGAGATAGAGAGAGAGAGAGAGAGAGAGAGAGAGAGAGAGAGAGAGAGAGAGAGACATTTTTGCCATTAAACTTTGAAACCTATGATAACATGGCTACTCACTGAAATTAGCGGCCATCTTTCCAGTAGACTCAACGGGCAGCATTTGGAAGTCTCCCAGCACCACGTAGTCTCCAGACATCATTAGGTGCGGCAGACTGATGTTAGCAGTCACCTTCAACTCTTCAGGGTACACACTGCATAATAGACAAACAGTTTATAGTATTTGAAGGTCTAGAATCACACTTGACATAATTCAATATATAACAACATAGAAGGCAAAACTATGCGTCTGCTTACGACAGACAGTAACACGACCCAGTCATTTATCTTTAAATACAAAAGTAGGTACCTAGATGAGCAGCTTCAAAAAAAATTGGCGAATTAGAATAATTTACTAACTTGTCTTTGTATTATGTGTAGTTTTATAAATTACTAGCGACCCGCCCCGGCTTCGCGCGGGTGCATGGCTGATACTTTATTGCTCCAGTATTTATTGAATGTTAGAGAAAAAGAGACTTTGTTTTACACTACATGATTTATTATTCATATGTAATAGGTAGTATATAAGGAACTGTTACTTATTTATACAAGGAAATTATCTGTATCTTAAATGGTTATCAATGTGTATCTAAGTTTATTATATTATTACACTCATTTCTCTGCGTCACCTAAAGGTCGAATGTTTATACAACTTGTACATAATTTTGTATATAAGTTATACTATGGTATATACTGGTATTTACCAGTCCATCACCCACACCCACAACAATATAATCCTATCAACCGAGGATTATCCTAAGATGAACTTGCATAGTGCATAAAAGGCTCTCCCATTTCACTAATAACAAAGTTATTCAAAGGCCTCTGCTTGCAGGATGGCTTCCACCAAAAGACCCTTGGGTCCTGTGAATGGAAGTAACCATACAAAAACAAAACAGCTCATTATCACAGTACACTTCGATAAGGTTCTTCTATTCGCATTATATAAGATATCTAAGTGTGGGAGAGCCAAGTTTCGGCACGAATGAGTCGGCTCGACCGGAGTGATACCACGGCCTTACAGAATACCGGCGTTAAACAACCCACAGCGTTGTATTTCGCCGTGTGAGTGAGGTTACCGGAGGCCCAATCCCTTCCCAATCCTTATATCTGCAACCCCTATCCCCAAAAGGCCGGCAACGCACACATAACTCTTTTGGTGTTGCATCAGGTAATCCGTCAGATCGTTTGCCGACTTATACCATAAAAAAAATCTTTTACGTGCGAGAAAGCTACAAATGTATACTCACTCCAGTTTATTAAACGTATAATTGGTAAGTCCTTCCAAGGCTACATCGGTCAACCAAGCATCATACTTGAAGTTGTTCTGCGGCATGTTGTACTGCCGTAACCTGATACTGGGGATCTTGAGGGGTTCCAGTGGCTGGATGTTCAGGGAGGGTACTCCTTGAGCCAGGAGCTGTCTCGCCTGTTCAGCTATCCGCTGGATACATTCTGCTACGTTCGGATCAGAGTAGTGGCATGCTGATTTACCTTGAAAAGGGGATTTTGAATTTAAAATAAGAGAATAATCTTTATATTATATAAAAATGGGTCGCAAAATGAGTTGGTAAGCGCATAACTCAACATCGCCAGGACCAATTTTGCGAATTCTTTTTTTATTGTGTTTGTTATTGTCAGGAATGGTTCTTATCAAAGAAAATATTAGAAAAGTAGAGGCGAAGATTTGGAAAACGTTAAACTTTGATAGCGAGATAGTTGGACCCGTACGAAGCAGGGGCAGGCCGCTAGTAGAATTTAAAAATAGTCTAAAGTTTTTACTACTTATAATATGTATTAGTAACTCATATTATAAATTTCAATAAATAATGTAAAAGTCATAAATATCTCATAATACATTGCCTATCATATAATTACGAAGACTTTGCTCAATGAATTGGTTTCCATCTAAGCGATTCTGAGCCGGATCCAGGGTATCGACCTGACTTTGAGGAGTGGCTTGAGTGACGCTACGGCGTTCTAACCTTCCGCTTGACGCAGGTGCTTACTGCTACTTACCTATTTCGGATCTGGCGTGTGGAAACGCCTGAGTGTCGTATATTGTGACTACCCAGAGGTCAAGGTGGAGTAAAAGGTCGTGGTGTGCCCTGCTTGGACTGAGCACCGTCGTGTCCTCAGGTAAGTGATTGACGGGTGATCCCTGTTGCTTACCATCAGGTAATACGTTTGCTTGTGGCTTTATCACGCTTAATGTCACCACTGTCTCAGTAACTGGTAAAACTTCAAAGCATACTTGAAGATATTACGGGAAAATGAAAATAACAGTTATTACTTACCTATACTCGATGCGTCACTACTATCGTGATAGCTCGTCTCATTTCGGCTTCGTTCGATTCGTCTCGCGCAAGCAAAATTCACATAAATAACTAAAAGAATTAATTTTAAATAATTCATTTTAAGACCTTTTTGGTCTAGACTTCTACTTCATCTAAGGGTCAGAATGGATTAGTGTTCCTTATATTAGTTCTGATGGCTTTACTGGTTACCTTATGAGGAATAGGACCTTAGGTAAGGTCGGAAGAACGAGAAATGAATGCAATTACGAATGCCTGTCTCAAAGTTGTCTAGTATAATTTGAAATATGCACATACTCGTATGTAATGGACGTTAGATAATTAATAGTACTACATATAACGTTTAGTTCAGTTAGCGTGATTCAGATCTAAATATAGGAATATCTATGTTTGTCTGTCAACAGTATAAACGTCAACTCTAGATATTATTTTATACTACACTAGCGGCCCGCCCCCGCTTCACACGGGTTCAACTGTCTCACTAACAAAGGGTCACTTTTTCCTAATCTTCCCCTTGATAAGAACCTACTCCTGACAATAACAAACACAACAAAAAAAGAATTAGCAAAATTGGTCCAGGCGTTGTTGAGTTAAGCGCTTTTCAACACATTTTGCGATCCATTTTTATATATAAGATTTTATACCTTCGTCGAAAGTTCCAAATAACTAAATGGTTTACAAACAAATATCAATATGTTTGACAATTCTTCGCCCCTATCCCTCCCATCTCCAATCCGCAAATCTCAAACTCCCAAAAGGTCAGCAGGGTGTCATGGTTGCTTGTCATCAGGTGCAGAGTCACGTCAATCGTTTGCTGCCGTATTCCATAAATGATGGAACAACAAACACCAGTATCTAATGCGAAGCACTTTAAAAACCTTGAAGTATGATCTTTTAACACGAGTAAAAACTAACAGACACTTCTAAATAGATTTTTACCATTTAATAAAAACCCGCAAAGATCTCTTACTGAACTCAAATTATGGAAAGAAAAAGCAAACGAGCTGAGCAATAACTGGATGGTAAGTGATCAGCGCTGCCCATGGATACCCACTTTACCAAAGGAGACAAAAGTGCGTTGTAGGTAGTCACAGTCTAAACACGATCATCAATACCTTCTAATTATTATAAAGCTGAAGAGTTTGTTTGTTTGACCGCTCTAATATCACTACTACTAGTTCTCACTACTAGTTGGAATTTGGTAAGTCACTCTTTTTTGTTGGATAGCCCATTTTTCGAGGAAGGCTAGGTTAAAAAAACATTAAGTTGAGACCAACAGGAACCGAGCAGCGAGAGCTACATATTTTACTATTAATATGCTATTAATACTCAGGTGACGGTTGTCGGCAGTTCAAGGGCTGTCTCCAAAATTGACTGGTCTACTCTTCCCCAAGTACGTTTGCTTAACACTATAATTCCCTTTTCCTTTGAAGTCAAGAACTTGGGGATTTACATAGACAGTACTCTCTCCTGGTCTAAACAGTTGCAGGAGGTTAGTCGCAGAATGTTTGCCTCGGCGGGCTCTTTGAGGCGTCTTCGAAATTTCCTGCCCACTACTACAAAAATTGCATTAGCACAATCCCTTCTTCTACCTATACTCGACTATGCTGATGCCAGCTATCTTGATATCACTCAAGAACAATTAGACAAGCTTGAGCGTCTTCAAAATCTTTCTATCAGGTTTGTATTTGGATTGCGCAAATATGACCACGTCTCACACGAAGGTAAAGGTGAAGGTGAAGGTGAAGGTGAAGCTGAAGCTGAAGCTGAAGCTGAAGGTGGAGGTGGAGGTGGAGGTGAGGGTGAAGGTGAAGGTGAAGGTGAAGGTGAAGGTGAAGGTGAAGGTGAAGGTGAAGGTGAAGGTGAAGGTGAAGGTGAAGGTGAAGGTGAAGGTGAAGGTGAAGGTGAAGGTGAAGGTGAAGGTGAAGGTGAAGGTGAAGGTGAAGGTGAAGGTGAAGGTGAAGGTGAAGGTGAAGGTGAAGGTGAAGGTGAAGGTGAAGGTGAAGGTGAAGGTGAAGGTGAAGGTGAAGGTGAAGGTGAAGGTGAAGGTGAAGGTGAAGGTGAAGGTGAAGGTGAAGGTGAAGGTGAAGGTGAAGGTGAAGGTGAAGGTGAAGGTGAAGGTGAAGGTGAAGGTGAAGGTGAAGGTGAAGGTGAAGGTGAAGGTGAAGGTGAAGGTGAACGATTTGTACAATATACTCTTCAATCCCACTACCGTCGTTTTAAATGGGTCACAAAACAATAATTGCGTCGTACAAAACAATAACTGTGTTTCTTTTGTGTGCACATATGTAGATAATACTTACTTAAAAAAATACACAAAATGTTTGTTATTCATTTAAATTTATTTTATCACCTTCAAAGCATGCTCCTTCAGAAACGATACACTTACGCCAACGAATAATCCAATCATCGAAACTTTTTTTAAACGCTGTTTCCGGAATTGAGTTCAGTGCTCGCCGCGAATTCTCCTTTATGTCTTCTAACGATTGAAAACGGGTGCCACGAAGGGGTAATTTGAGTGTGGGAAAAAGAAAGAAGTCGGCTGGAGCCATATCTGGTGAATATGGTGGCTGCTCGATGGTGTTTGTTGAGTGTTTGGACAAAAAATCGTTTACAATGATGGCCTTGTGCGAAGGCGCATTATCGTGATGCAAAATCCAAGAATTTTCTTTCCACATTTCTGGCCTTTTTCGTCGAATTTGTTCTCTTAAACGCCGCATAACGCTCAAATAATATTCTTTATTTACCGTTTGACCTTCGGACAAGAATTCTGAGTGCACAACACTGCGATAGTCAAAGAAAACAGTCAACATGACTTTGACTTTTGATCGACTTTGACGTGGTTTTTTCGGTTTTGGTTCAGTTGGAAGGCGCCATTCCGAAGCTTGTTGACTAGTTTGCATGTCAAACTCGTAAACCCACGTCTCGTCACCAGTAACAATGCGTTTCATGAATGTTGGGTCGGTATTGACTCGTTCTAGCATGTCCTCAGCGACTTTCATGCGATTTAGTTTTTGAAGAAAATTCAGGTCTTTTGGGACTAGCCGAGCGGCAACACGTTTCATACCCAAATTATTTGTTAAAATGGTACGGATCGACTCGTGAGATACAGAAAGTTCGGCGGCCATCTCTCTCAAACTTGAATGAGGATTTTCAGTCACTATTTCCTTCACTTTTGCGATGTTAACTTCAGTTGCAGACGTTGATGGCCTACCAGAACGAGGCAAATCTTCCATCACATCTCGACCGCTTTTGAACGCTTTGTACCACTCATAAGCACGTGTTTTTGATAAAGTCGATTCAACGTAAGCCTTCTGTAACATTTTGAGTGCCTCCGAACACGAAATTTCATTGGCGATGCAAAATTTAAGACAAACTCTTTGTTCGATGTTTTTGTCCATTATGAAATTCGCAATACACACTAGATATTATAAAACTAAAAACAGCACTGTTTTTAATATAAATAACAGATGCAACTCAAATTCCGCGCCAAAATGGAAAACAGTTATGCCAATCTAACAACAACAAAAAAATTAAAATTCGAATTTGGAACCATAAAAAATACATTCATTCCCGATACTTTGTTGACTGAAGGTATATATAGGTATATATATATATATATACATATATATGAATATATACTTACTTAAAGTATTACTGTTCCACAAATACACATATGTTATAATATATAATGTAGGTAGTTGGAATCAGGAAATACTTAGTTCATTCGTTACAAGAAGGAAATAAGGAAAGAGTGCAGTGTGACCTCAACCTTACGCGAGGCTGTCACGGTCCTGTGTGTTTATATCCTTATGTCCGACCTATTAATTCATCTTTATCAATAGACTCTCACGCGGTTTCACAAGCTGCTCAGCTCCTACAGATAATAGCGTAATGTTTTATAGCCTATAGCTAGCCTTCCTCGATAAATGAAACCAGTAGTTTCCGAGATTAGCGTTTTAAAACGAACAAACTCTTCAACGTTGAAATATAAGAAGAGATTTAAAAAAATATATTTAAATTACTATTTAATTATACTTTTATAACAAATAGGAGCAGAAACGTTTGTATAATTATTGTTTTTGTCTCAGGGCTGATTTTTCAATGGTTAGAAAAAAGTTATATGCGGAATAATTATGATGCTGTCGCGTCAGAATGTTTGTATAAAACAGTGACAGCAACAATTTTATTCCTCAGATAACATTTATCTGACTATTGAAAAATCTGCCCTAAAACAAGTAAAAATAACACTTCATATCACTGTGATTGATGGATAAAACACATCCAAATTAATCAAAACTCTACCATGACCATGACCCTTGGATAAACATGTTTTATTATAGTAGTAAATAAAACAAACATACAATGGTATAATATCAAAATTTATTTACAATCTTAAACCTAATTAGACAGCCTTCATCAAACACCAGGTACAATAATCTTTATTGCATATAATAAAACAATATTGACGAAACATACTATGCAATTTTAAGTAGAACTTTCTTTAAAAACACAAATAATCTAACTTTGGACTCTTCTATCAAATTTAGTTCAGGGCCTGGGTGAAAACCCTCAAACAAGTAAATAGTACAGCATATTTATAAATATTGTTTTTTAAACTTATTTTTTACACACATACTTTCACACACACATCAAGCCCTAACCCGGAATAATATACATATGTGGGTCACACACATATTTGATCAGTGCGCGATTAAAACCGTGAGACGTGTGAACGTTCTATTTTCAATTTTATTTGATACCTAAAGGCTATGTATACATTGCGAAAAAGGTATTTTTTTTTGTGAGGGGAAAATCATCAAATGACTTCTCTCGCCCAGAGGCTGGGCGGGAGGGAGTGTCAGACTCTTACTGACTAAAAACCCCCCTGTTCCTTCTCCTGCTCTGTGCCGAGGTCGCGGTGCCTCATTGCGCTTACCCCGCAACCCCGGTGCGGAAAAGGTACTGAAAGTCAACGATACCCATCTGCCAACTAAATCCTTTTCGCGTCTACATTCCTACATGAACACTCTCAAATATTTGGACGAATTTATTTTTCAATATTTCTTTTTTTTCCGTTGCCAGGTGCAGTGTGATTTCTATAGAAGATTAGATTGTCTCTTGAAATTATAATCTTTTTGTTCACTAAGACGAAATCTTGGACGATAAGCTAATAAGTAGAAATCGTTACATTAAAAAGAATTTGTGTCATGATATTTACAGCTTCACATTAAAGCAATCTTTGACAAAATGACAATATACGATTCTGTAATCAATAAATATTCTATCGGCTATTTCTTAACTAGACTTATACTAAGAGAGAGGGGTTACGTAAGCTGTTTCTTAGTAAGTATATGAAGTAACCAATTCTTACATATACTTTACAATGAATCACTAATAAAACGGCCTTTTAAGAGCGACCACAAAAGACCTAATTACGTAAACATTACGTCGTAAATAAATATCAGAAGAACATACAACACAAAAAAACGTGTTTGCGGACTATGGATTTAATTGTACACACAATTAAATCCATAGTCCGCAAACACGTTTGCTTTAACAACGTTTTAAAAATAGAACTCCTTTAAAAACATGGGCGACGAAATGCCAAAATCATTTTCTTGGCCTCGACTTTAAAGTTGAAATTCTATTATTTCAATAAAATTCCTTTCTTCATTCCATTTTTAAATCTACGAATATCCTTTTTTTCTTTTCAAACAAACTCTCAGAACTAAAATAAAACCTATTTAACTTAAACTATTTACAATTTAGGCTGCTGGAGCATCATCTGTCAATACTTCACTGATAGGTATACTTCCTAGTACTTTATTCACGAAGGCCTTAATGACTGCTGCTGTAGTCTCTTCAATCAGTGGGTTCAGGATGTCCAGAACTACGTTCGGGCTGGCATTGAAGAACGATACTGCTGATGCCGCTGTAAAAGAAATAAATTATTAATGAAATGAAGACCTCATTCGGATAATAATGTTGACGCATTAAATTGCCGCCTATTTATTTATAATAAATATTACATCATTTAATTTTGAAAAACTTGAAAGAAAGACTTTATCTGAAGGTCGGACTAATCACTTAATGTTATACGTGAGTGAGTCGTAAGATTTTCTGTAGGTTCAAAATTAATGGATTAACTAAGAATTACGTATGATCGATTTTTGACATTAATTTTATGGAGTTACTGTCAAAAGCTACAGGGAACAAAGAAGGACTTTGGATTTTAATCTTCTATTAATTTTATCCCTCAGTCGGAGTCATTTCCTCATTATGACATTGGGTAAAATGTCAAAAAGTTTTTACTTCACATAAACAATGCGGATCGTTTAGCTCACTAGCGCCATTTAGTGAGGTTTGACATTATTATTCGTAATTGAAACCTGGATCAGTCTGTCTTACTAGACTAGGCCACTACTAAGAAGCAATTACAGTGGACAGATGTGAGCGAACATAGGTGCATTCTCTGTTCCCTCACACCTTGAATATATTGGGATGGCAGATAGACATGACCTGAGAGCCAAAGCCAGTGACAGCGCTTTACCAACGTGCTATCCGAAGAAGTGATTTAGGATTACAACTAAAGGCTAGTTGACGACAATAAAACTTGTCAAATTAGGTTTCTCTTAAATCTTTCTAAGTGAGAATTTTATTTTATGAAGTTAAAAACAAATCATAGTTTTTAATTTCTTTCGTACGAAACCTGGCAAGTACCAATGTGACTTTCTCCGAAGTTAAAGTGGGTACTTTCTATATAATTATTTAGACATCACTCACATAATGTGAAGAAAAACATCGTGAGGAAACCTGGAACTATTAGTTTCAAATTATAAGTTTGAAATGGCCAATCTGCCTTGAGCAAGCCTGGTGATTAATGCTCAAACCTTCTTCGAGTGAAGAGAGGCCTTTGCTCAGCTTTTGGCACTTATAGGCTGATGATGATGAAGCAAAAAATAATAGATAATGATATTTACCAGCTAGCGGTCTCTCGGTGTCATCAATAGCGATCTGTGCGTTGTTGATCCTGACTTTGGAGACAATCTTGTCGACCTGCAAGTATTCCACATCGTCCTTGACGATTGGCTTCGCGAAACCCTTCGCGATCACTGTGATGCCAGCTGGAAAATTAAATTAGTTTTGTTAATATACGGAAAAATTAAGGAAAACCCTTAAAATTTGTTAAAATATTTTAATAATAATTCAATTGTTCTTATAATTTGGTACAACTATGTGTATTAAGAATATATTCGTGAGCTTTTAAAACATAATTAACTATATTTGTTTTAAAAGAGTAACGGTAGAGTTTTTTGCCCGTGCTTGAATGAACACTTTGGAACGAGCACCTAGTCACGCTGACCAACAGCCTGACCGTCTATTATTCTATTTTTATGTTTTAAAGTATCTATTTATGATTTAGATGACATTATAAAGGATTTTTACTTTGCATTGCCTTTATTTATTTACATAACACAGCGAAAAAATCTATCGATTTGTTAAAGAGCTCTATGGCATTACCATTGCCATGAACATATAATTATATAATATGTACAGTATTTTTCAATAACTCGTACCTATATAAAAAAATATAATTGTCTAAAGGAACACAGAAAATTCGCTGGATAAGTACCTATTATGATTCAAGTAATTAATATACATTTTATGTTTGAATGACAAATTACAGAATAAAAAGGACCCTGTTTTTAAGTTATTGACGATATGATCATTTAAAAATTGAGTTCGAGTTGCAATAACTAATCGTTTCTTAATCTTTGTATCGAAACATTAGTGTGCAAATAACTAAAATCCTTCATTATCCTTAGATATTGTTTTTAAAACATTAATTTATGCTACGCGTTTCTAAACGATCAATAACAATCCAATTACTTTTTTAACCAACGTGAATTTTAAAAAAACATACAACTTCGGTTACTTTTTCTTTCTAGTATAACTAGTATAATTATATTATAAAAGCCAGCTATAGTTCTTTAATGAAATTTGCGATAGTGGTTTTCACAACATGGTTTTCACAAAATGTTTGATAGTTAAAGTTTAAGACAAATTGACTTCTTTATAAGTTAGTATCATTTAGTGCTTCATTACTTCAATCAATCCTAAATCTTTGGCATTATTATTTGTTTATTCTATTGTATTTGCCTAGATTTATACAGAGTGATGAATTAAGGTATCAGACGACAATTATAGTCAAAAATTCGTAAAAAGTCTTTCATATAGAAATGACAAAAATAGACCGTAGGTTTAGGATTAACATCCTACTTAATATTATAAATCTGAAAGTTTGTTAGAATGTATGAATTTATGTCTGTTATTTTTTGTCGCAAAAACAGATGGAGCGATTTGATTGAAATTTGGTAAGTAATTAGATGATACCCTGAATTTGACAAATACGCTTTTTACCAACATACTATTAACGTCAGCCATAAATATACATAGCGTATAACTTACTGAAGTTTCCACGCAGACGTCCCTTGCCGTTGATGTCGAGGGTGAGGAGTCTGGATCCCCTGACGTCATAGTTAGCAACCACCATCAGCCTGGGCAGCGTCAGCTTCAGCTCTCCAGCGTACTTGTTGTTCAGGTTCAGTCTGGAAACCATTGGGTATAAGGTAAGTTAGTGCCATTGTCATCATAGCTAATTAATGTGGGAGCGATATGATTCGGTACGGTTGGGTCAGCTCGACTAGGACTACAGCTTTACAGGTTGTCTGTAAATCCCCAAAACCTTAATCCTCAAATCCCTAACAATCCACTTTAGGCTGGTAACGCTTTTGTACCTATATGGTGGCGGATGTCCATAAGCGGCAGTGATTGCTTGCCATTAGGTGATAAGTCCTCTAAGCTCTTTTTTCCACCTATCAAATAAAAACCACAACGCGAGAGATATGAATAAAGTCGAGATGATATTAGAGATGTAATGGTTTTCAATGGTTAAATCATTGAACACTTCGTTTTGTGCAATGATCCGTATGTACCAAAATCTAATAAATCAGTAAGCTATTACCACTCGTTCATTGTACTTTGCTACCATTTTTAGCATTTACAGCATTTTTTTACTGTTACTTCATTTATGTTGCGCACACGCATGCGGTAACAAAAACTAGGATTCTAGTACATTTATAGCGTGTTATCTAGATATTATATAACTCTATTTCCTCTCGTTAAAATATGTACTACATAATAGTAAATAGCATAGTAGTTACGATCTGATTACGTTTATATGAAAAAAAATGTACCTAGGTACAAGTCACGTGAGAATGTAATGAAATTACTTTAAAAAGTGAAACCATTAAAATTTTAATATTGACGGGATATTCAGAGAACGCCATAGCCGGCTGGATGAACATTCTGGCATCCATTTTTTAATGGAATAGGAGGCAAACCAGCAGACCCATCACCTGGTGATAAGTGATCAGCGCCGCTCAAGGACACTTTCGAAACCAGAGTCACAGGCGCGTTGCTAGCCTTTTATGAAGGAGTACATATTATTTAAGGTTTGAAGGTACTAATTTTCATTTTAGAAATACCGCCGCGGAAAGATCATTCCAAAGTTTTGTGCGCTGTGCGAGGCAGAAAGTTTCGCGTAAATCGCACAATTGTTGACCGTCAATAATCAATGTGGTGATAAATAAATTTAGGTATATTATAGACAACAGCAGATCAACCTTAGTAGGTACTCAACATTTTGAATTAGATTTTCAACTTTATGTCTCAGATATAAAGTTCACAAGAATTACAGGTAGTAGAACTGTGTTTTTTTAAATGCCCCGATGTGACAACTATGACAAAAGTTTGATCAAAAAACAATTCTTACTTTAATTTCTCAATCTTGAAGTCACTGCCGCCGTAAGCCTTCGCATGCTTAACAGTTGCCTTCAGCCTCAAGTTAGGAGCAGTCCTGTCGAGCTTCAGGGTCGGTACTGTGAAGGGATCCAGGGCTGGAATGTTCACCTCAGGGATACCTTCTCTGAGATGGGGTCTCATAGCCTCGAGGCCGTTGAGAACGCATTTTTCAATTTGAGGATCACTCCTTTTGCATGACGGGAAGTAATCAGCTGTGGATAAAGAGAACAAGTAATTATTTGAAACTGAATTGATATAGATAGATAGACATAGATATATGTATATATATAGACAGATATAGTTAAAGATATAGATAACTGAATTGATATAGTTAGTTATTGAAATAAATCGAATAACAAAAAAAGTGGGAGAGTCATGTTTTGGCACGAATCGGTTAGGATGAAGATTCCAATTTTATTGAGCATAGTTAATAATTACATGACTTCTCTGACCCAGGGTGTGGCGAGAGGGAGTGTCAGACTCTTACTGACTAAAAACAACCCTGTAGAGGTACTTTAGTGCTTTATTATGAAAACTTAAATAATATATAAGTATGGAGTCTGAATCTAGCCTAGCACGCTATAATATATTGTCCTCGTGTAACAATAGAACTATATAAAAATTAATTACACTATACTTTCATAATTTGAGAGCATTTCATGACTGACATAATATTTTATCACGTTGACTAGGGCCGGAAATTATGACCTAGTTTACAAAATTATTGGCTTTTCTATTGTATGAATTATGAACAGATGACATGCTATATGACGCTTATTTGCCGAAATTAAGGTTAGGATGTGCATCTAATTTGACCATTTTTCGCACGCAATGCACACACTTCAAATATCAGGGCAAAAATCTAACAATAATGAAACCCAATTTTTTTGGTCATGGGACGACAGCACGCGAGAACATCCAAACCGATTCTGATAATTCTTGTTTTGTATATGTATGGTATGTAGGGGTTTAAATAAAATAACATTTTAGAAAAGTAAATGTGATAATGGCCGATAAAATACTGTTAACTACTACTGCTCTAAAAGAAAAAAAAAGCTAACAAACAAACATAAAAGAAGGATTGTATTTAAACATACAAATCTTGAATGAACTACACGAAAACAAAACAAATCTCTACTTAATCAGATAATACTGGCTTGGCAACGGAAAAAACGTAATAAGACAGTACTAGTTTGTAACAACTGCCCTATGAATTCACACTAATTTAACTGGGCAACCAACCGTAGGTTTCCCGTCATCATTTAGCGACAAAATAATCGTTAGGTGTGACCCAAACTTTATAAGGGCCACAGTGAACGGACCCAGCCTTGGGCTAGATGCATTTCCTTTGCGTAAAGTTCATTACATACTTGCGATTTTACGCTTGGATTAATTTTGAACAAATATTATAGCAATGTCGTAAGTGTAATTTGGTAAATAACATCCTGTGGTATGTGCTTTTTAGGGGAGGAAATTATCAAATGACAATAAGGGAATCAGACTCTTACTGACTTAAAATCACCCGTTCCTTCTCCTGCTCCAGGCCTGACCAGGCTATATTATTGCGCTCTCGCCCGCAACCCCGGGTGATAGGATTCTTTAACCTAGTGATTTTAAGTTTACAAATTTGATCCATGGATCGATGTAAGTCATGTTAGGTCTTTTTGCATGTAATATAATTCGAATGCTCATAACTCCTTTCAATGTGAACACTCTCCAAATACGTTATATAGATATAAACCGTTTTTTATAACTGTAGTGACAATCCAATAATGGAAGTAATCAATTAACAAAATACGAAATGATAATCTTTTATAAACAAAATCCTAAAATCTAACTTCAATTATAAATTTTGACAAACCCCAATACGATTACAGCACATAGAAAGAGTTGCCGGGGTTGCGGGGTAAGCGCAATGAGTCACCGCGACCTCGGCCCAGAGCAGGAGAAGGAACAGGGGGGTTTTTAGTCAGTAAGAGTCTGACAGTCTTTCTCGCCTTACCCTGGTCGAGAGCATTCATTTGATGATTTTCCCCCGACAAAAAAAGCACGTAGAAGAGAGTTATGAAACAAAACAATACCAATGGAAATTTTCTATCAAAGCCACATGTCGTTAAAAAATCAAACAGAATATAAATAAGTCGTTATCTATAAAGAATAATCCAATATCTATTCAATAAGCTTCACAATATTTCAATACATTATGTATTAAGCCTTAAATTATATGCTTAAAGTGATCACGCACGTAACGAGCAAATGGCCGAGTTGTTTATATCCTTGAGATGTCGTGTATTACGTGTCATTTTTGTTAGTATTGATTTTTATGTAACTTGCCATAGCTTTTAAAGAAGTTTTTGTTCCGTTTGTAGATAGGACGATACTGGATTAAGTGGCTGCTATGTATTTAATGGGACAAGTTCCTACTCGTTACTGCTTTGGTGTGTTAATTGGCTTTGCCGATTGCTTAGCAACCCAAGAAAGAAATATCCTTTTGCACAAGAGACTTTTGCTTCAGAAAATATAGTTACATTTTCTGAAGACACGAAACAAAAAAAAATAGTAGTTATTAAAACTATTGTTTTATTAGATGATTTTATCGTACGAGGGTTTTGGATTTAGAAAACTTATCCGCAATAATTTAAATTAAGAACGTCTATAACGGTAATTGGCATAATAGGTTAAGGTAAACAACACGCTGTACTAGGCCTACGTAAATAATAATATTGATTACAAAAATTACAGATAAGGGATTAAAAATTGGAATAAGAAAATCAATTGAATATTGGAAATTACCAAACGTAATTATCGACTCATAAGATTCAATTACAGTTCAGATAACTTTATAAAACCTAAGTGATTATTTAGACCCTACTGACATACGGTGAAGGACAACATTGTGAGAAAACCTGGACTTATAATTTCTAATTATAGTTTTGAAATCGCTAATCTGGCTATATCAAGCGTGGTGATTTATGCTCAGATCTTGTCCGTTTAAGAAGAGGCCTTTGCTCAGCAGTGGGCACTTACAGGCTGTATCAAGATTACAAATTATTTGATGGATAGCGTTTTTTATCTGTCTTTAAATCAAATACTATACTTTTATGAGCTAGAAGCCAAAGTTAAAGCACCAATATCTTTCTTATACTCTCTAGTAAGTCTACCAACAAACCTTAGGTAATAATATGAACAATAACAGAGACCGCAAACCAATAACTACTCTAGATATTACACAGTTAGGTTTCGTTTACATAAACAACGGCGGCTAACAAGATGTTGTAACCGACAATGCAATATCTAAATTTGAAGTTGATAAGTAGAGCAAAACATGCCTCTAGCTACTGGAATTAAATTATTTTAAAGTTTAAAACAAAATGGTGATAAATTAGGCTTTAAATCTGTTCATTAAGATTACTTTATTAAGGCGGGGTTGTGTGTAGGGCATCGGAACCGGTTTTCCCGGTTCTTTCGGAACCGGGAAAACCCGGTTCTGGAAGACACTGATAGAACCGGTTCTGTAAAACAAGGAACCGGTTTTTTTGGTTCTTACGGTTCTGTCTTAAAATTTTAAAAATAATATCTCTATAATACTTTTAATGCTAAATATCAAGTTATTATCCAAATTTTCGTTTCCGTTCACGGGATCACAGGATCACGGACCTTTAGAAGGTGTACGAGGGGTCGAAGCCAACTCGCAGAGGCCCGTTGATCAACTTCAATATAAGTGAAATGGGACATTAGCCGGCAATTATCCCTGTATGCACTATGAAAGTGCACCCAAGGATAATCCCCGGTTGATCTAGGACTATTGCGAAATGTGGTAATAATAATTGAAAGGGTTATGGGTATGGGTTGCTATGGACTGGTGGATATGATAACTATGGAAATACTATGGCCCCTGCCCCTGACCAATATTGATATATACGGATAAACAGGCAGGAGGTAACTGGCAAACCCAATAAAATGGGCCCCCGGAAACGGCCGCTAGCATGTAGCGACACGGAGGCAACTTACGTTGAGCTGCTTGGGGAAGGAGAGGCATCCCACGGCTATCAGAGCAATCCCGGAAGTACGGTCAAGACCCCTACCAGCGCCTTACTGAGATACATCCTTCCTTCGAGTCTCCTTCAACTCCTACTCTTATCCAAATTTATTATTAAGACAGAATATATGCTGTTATTTCACTGTTAACCCAATAAATAACGTTACAATTTATTATTAATGATAGATTTTTAAGAAACTAACAAGGGACATTGAAGTAAATGCTCCATGACAACTCGCGAAATTCAAATTTTGGACATATAAAATAACAATAGTTAAAAAATATGTTATAATTTGAGTGTAATTCAAAAAATTTATAAAAATGAGAGACTTTTCAAATAGAATTTATGATAAAACCCGAAAGAACCGAAAGAACCGGGTACCCGGCTCCGTCTAAAATTTAGAACCGAAAGAACCGGTTCCTGAAATAGGACCGGTTCTCGATGCCATAGTTGTGTGTGTGAGGGTCGTGGTGGCCCGGAGGTTAAGGATAACGCTTCTCATGTATGACGATGTTGGTTTGAAACCTGGCAAGTACCAATGTGACTTTTTCCGAGTGATATGTACTTTCTATGATAATTAAGGCACCACTACAATACGGTGAAGGCAAACATCGTGAGGAAACCTGGACTTATAATTTCTAATTATAAGTTTGAAATCGCCAACCCACATTGAGCAAACGTGGTTAGGGCATTGATCAATGCCTAACCTTCTCCGTATGAGAAGAGGCCTTTGCTCAGCAGTGGGCACCTACAAGCTGAAGATGACGATGATGTGGGTGTAAGCGTAATAATCTGCGACCGCCCCGGCACGAAATAGGTATAAGAACGGAATTGTTTTTAGTCAATAAGAGTCTGACACTCCCTTTTACCCCAACCAAGCAAAGGATTCAAGAAATCATTTGATTCATTTTCCAATCTTAAAAATAGATTAAATAATATTGAGTTATAATAAATTATACTCTGTGTGCTTTCAGTAATTTAATTTATAGTAATAATTTCACTTTGTATCTACATAGGAATCATATCGTTACTGTCAAACAATAGCGTAATTTGTCTACCTTTCAAGCACTAGAAGGAGTAATTAAGTTATTATCTTACCTAAGTTTTAAAAAATACGAAATTACCAATAGTAATAACGGTAAGAACAGGCATAAACAAACTAATCCTTAATCACTTTTTTTTGGAGTTTTCGTACCTAATTTAACCTTGCTTCCAAAGTTCAATAATTAAAAAAGTAATAAGTAAACAATTCGACCATAATTCTGACGTCAATCGTAAAATAAAAATTAATTAGCGTCAAGACGGAGCAATAATAAAACCACTGAAACACATTAATCAGATTTCAGGCAAAAGGCCAGATGTAACAACGATTTCTAAATAAATTAACACTGAAAATTCACTTGATTAAAATTTAAATACTTTAATGAAATGAATAAGAATTTTAAACCTAATAAAAATATATTAGATACTAGCTTATGCCCGCGACTTCGTTCGCGTGGAATAGTGACTTCGACAGAGATATAAAAACTATCATATGTCCTTTCTGGAGTCCGAAACTATGCCTGTACCAAATATCACAGAAATTGCTTTAGTAGTTTAAGCGTGAAGAAAAGACAGACAGTCAGACAGCCAGAGTTACTTTCGCATTTATAATATTAGTTTGAACTTGGATTAAAGTATTATCAACATTTTTTTCGAAATAAATAAATACCTTTAAAACCATCTTTTTTTTCAGAAATATCCGGTGAAATATGAAAAATAATACTTACGCGTCACTTTAGCCTGGGCACAAACAACACAGAACAAGAAAATCAATATCACTTTCATTGTGTTTGTCGGTTAAAACTGTGTGCAGTTTTAAGTGAGATTGCAACGGTAAGTTGATCGCGAATGAGCGCACGCGCCGACTAAACTGATATTTGTACCAGCGAGCCGCCCCCAAGTGTCAATCTTGGGCAACTTTTGGGGAAAAACGATTTTGGGGATTATCATTCTTATTATTCACTAGCTACTCTCACGCGGTTTTACCCGCTGCTCGGCTCCATTTGATCTTAAAGTGATGTTTTATAGCTTAAACCACTTAAGAACATTGTAGCTATCTATCAGTGAAAGAATTTTGGCAATCCGACCAGCGGTTCCAAAGATTACACCCTACATAAAAACTTACAAATTTTACCTCTTTATAAAATTAGTATAGATTAATCTTAACCGTACCTATTCTACTTATGCACAAGTAGTTAATTTATGTAAACACTTAAATGCATAAGGATATGTTTTTAGTTAGTAAGCAACTGAAAATAAGAAAATTGATTCTTATCTTCAAGGTCAATGTGAAGTAGAATAATACTACTTACTTTAATAGAATCTTAATACTTCGTCTCTTTAAACTTTGCACTCGACGATTAGCAAACATTGCTTAAATATAAAAAAAGAACGTATTTAAATAAATATTATATGTAAATGTCTTTTTAACTTTATTCAGACGTTTTGTTTCCAGGTTTTTTGTGTTTAAGTAGGTACTTTGTTCTTGTTCTAAAATCTTTACTTTTTCTTATAGACTTCTTGCTTTTATGCGGCAGCTAAAAAACATCCCGACTTCGCTCTGCTTCAATGTTAAAGACAAAACAAATAAAAAAATACAATCGAATTGAAAACCTCCTCCTTTTTTTGAAGTCGGTTAAAAACTATTTCGTATTCATAATAATTATTTACACACAAGTTACTCTCGCGCATTTTCACCCGCTGCTCGGCTCCTACAGATCGTAGCGTGATGTTTTATACCCTATAGCCTTCTTCGATAAACGGACAAACGAACACAAAAAGAATCGTACAATTCGAACCAGTAGTTTCGGAGATTAGCGCGTTCAAACATACAACTCTTTATACTATTATTGTATAAGATCTCCTTTAGAATACTTTTTATTAGTTTGGCCACCATTATCTGGTCCTGGTAATAAGCGATGATGCCTATTCACTCGCACCTTTAAGACACCTAGATATTCATACACACAGTATGCCCTTCGGGGAACACAGACTTCGGCAAAGAACTCCACTCCTTAGCGGTTCTAATGATAAAACTGGAGGCGAACTGCTTCTTACATGTGGGTAGGATATCCACCATGAAGGTGATCTGTATGATGGTAAAAAGCTCTAGGGAGAACCAGTGGTAGAATACCCATTAACAGATGTATTACCTGACCTGATGAAGAAAATTAGTATCTGTATTAAACATCCGCAACACCAAAGGCCACAGGTAATGTCGTGCTGGCCCGGAGGTTAAGGAGCCCGCTTCTCATGTATGAGGGTGTGGGTTCCAAACCTGTCAAACACCAATGTGACTTTTTCCGAGTTATGTGTACTTTCTATGATTATTTAGCTACCACTGACATGCGGTGAAGGTAAACATCGTGAGGAAACTTGGACTTATAATTTCTAATTGTAAGTTTGAAATCGCCAACCCGCATTGAGCAAGCCTGGTGATTAATGCTCTAACCTTCTCCGTATGAGAAGAGGCCTTTGTTCAGCAGTAGGCACTTATAGGCTGATGATGATGAACACCAAAGGAATTACTTACGGGAGTTATCCGTCATCAGGCTTACTTATGCCTCCGGTAAATCTCATCTTCACGACGTAATGCAACGCAAACGTTGTTTCACGCCAGTTTTCTGTGAGGCCGTAGTATCACTTCGGTCGAGCCACCGACCCATCTGTGCCAAAACATGCGTGGCGGTCCACGTGACACTGTTTTTATTGAATCATGATATAAGATACTGTATGTACAACCAATAAGGTCATTAAATTTGTACTAAATGAAAACAATTACATTTTTTTAGTATCGGCAATTTTAATGACAATTTTCTGCTAATAATTGGTAATAAAGGCAGTAGGTATGAAGTTTTTTTAAACCCAATTTCAGTTATAGGTAATATTCGTACTACTTAGATTATAGAGCAGTTACAACACAGATTAGCTCTGCAGTCAAGCAGAAAAATTATGTGATGGTAAGAAATTGGCTTGACTTCGAGGGTAGTGTGGGTAAGCCATGCTTCGGCACGGATAGGCCGGCTCGACCGGAATGATACTATACCCTCGCAGAATACTCGCGTGAGGCAACACTACCATTCTACACCTATGATTCTCACGTCCTTTATCCTTAAACCCCGACTAACCCACAAGAGGCCGCTAACGCACTTGTAGTAACTCCTTATGAATTACGTGTGACCTTGGGCGGCGTAAATTAAATGAATAATTTACAAATGTGCATTGATAACTCCCAACCACATATTCTTGGCTGCAGAAGCATCCTAATAATAGAAAAGAAATGACATTTATCTGTTCCATCACTTCTAGTATAAACTGGTTTCAAACGAAAGTGTAATTGACCCGTTTCTGTCATATTATCATTGGAAATAATACCTATTAATTAATTTATTCCACAAAATTCTTGACCTGTTAATTATTACAATAGGTTACACACAAAAATACAATTAATGAAATACAACTTTATATTTCAGATAAGTACATACGAACATCGAGATCAGTGGTGTGCAATTGGGTAGCTTTCTTCGTCCGGCAGTCGAAATTATTATGACGACGATGATCATACTGTGTAATTAAATAAAATAAAAATAACGATATCAAATTTGACTGCACGGTTGGTGCGGTGGCTGGGCATCTGGCTGCCGTGCAACGTGTCGCGGGTTCGATTCCCGCACGGAACAACACTTTGTGTGATCCATAAATTGTTGTTTCGGGTCTGGGTGTCATGTGTATGTGACATTGTATGTTTGTAAACGGACCCACAACACAGGAAAAAATCCTAAAGAGGGGCAACGTTTTATTAAGAAAAAAAATACATATTTTAATGAAAATTACCAATCAAATGACATCTCCCGACGTGGATAGCTGTCAGAGTCTTACTGACAATAAACAGCCCCAATTATTCTCATGCTCCGGTTAATAACATGCACGTGCGGTTATTAGTGCACTCGCACCCGCAACCCTAGCTGTACAGGCTGTATCGGTAAACTGAAGAGCAATGAATCACTCCGTGGGTGGACCACGGACTGGACTTTTTTATGAACTGTACTTACAATTACAACTTACAATAAGAAGGTCTTAGATCGGACTCCCAAACCTAATTTCTCTCTTCATCAATAACACAAGTATGAAAACAATACGTGTTAGTTTAAGGCTAATATAATTATGTACAAAAAAGTAATTATGTATTATATCTTTCCTTAAGAAACATCTTTATGTTACACATTAAATGCAAAAAGACAGAGTTTCCACAATAAATAGCTTACTTCTTGTGGAAATTTTATTTCTTGTTAATTTCGTAAACTATTATTACACACATTTCCTTTGCAATATTTGAATATTTAATAATAAAAAAACATATTAATATTCAAATTAGTCATAGTATTGCTTAGCTGTTAACTTGATTTCGATTTAAGTACCTGCATATTGCAATCATTGTGAAGAAATAACCAAAGTTTATTATGTACATAGATTTTTTAAACATATTGTAATAGAAACTCTTACCTGCGACGTTCTTCGCGTGGAATAGTGATTTCCTGCAGATTTTTGGTTTAAAAACTATCCTGTGTCCTTTCTCGAGTTCCAAACTATGTCTGTACCAAATTTCATACAAATAGGTTCAGTAGTTTAGGCGTGAAGAAAACACAGACAGAGTAACTTTCGCATTTATAATATTAGTTTGAATGTATATCAAACTCTAAATTCCTGGTTTTTCTATCTCTACAATGTACGAAACAAGACGTTGATTGCTTACCATCAGGTAATCCGTCTGCTCGTTTACAGAAAAAAAATATTCTCATATCCTTAACAGTCAACAAAAAGTATCTTATAAAAGAGGATTTGATATAGTTCTCTTGTTTATGAGATGACATGGAAATTGTTGATAGATAATAAAAAAAATGAGCATAGTGTTAACGCCAATGACCATACAACCACATATCCGTGGTTATATCCTTTATGGTTAACGCTCTCCTTCTCCTAACAATCGTACTATATCCATAAATTATCTATTTACATTACTCCTAGGAAAAGGGGGAGCTATGTTAACTTCAGGCCATGACGTTTAAAATCCAATGCTTTAGAGAATATGTCCAATATTTATATGCTTATCTATACTAATATTATAAAGAGATAAAATTTGTATGTTTGTAAGTTTGTATGTAGGGGTAATCTTTGCAACCGCAGGTCGGATTGCAAAAATTCTTTCACTTATAGATAGCTACAATGTTCCTGATTGCTATAGGCTATAAAACATCACACTACGATAAAATTAAGCCAAGCAGCGGGTGAAACCGCGCGAGAATAGCTAATTTAAAATATAATTGTGACTACTGTTTATATATAAACTCATCTTCGTGTACAACGTAACTTCGGTTTCCACTGCAAATATCATGTTTTCATATTAGCATTAGTTCATTTGTGGAGTTTTCCCGAGTTTTCCCGAGTTATATGTACTTTCTGTACTTATTGAGATACTACTGACATTCGGTGAAGGAAAACATCTTGAAGAATCCTGGACTTATAATTCCTAATCATAAGTTTTAAATCGCCAATCCACCTTGAGTAAGCTTGTTGATTAGATAATGCTCAAACCTTCTCCATATGAGAAGAAACCTTTGCTCAGCAGTGGGCACTTATTGGCTGATGATGTATGATGTACCTATTAGTTAATTTACCTTAATGCCTTATTCAAAAGTGGCGCCATCTAAGCAGAGCAAAAATGACAGTAATCTACTCATTTAAGAAAGAATTCTAAGTGATATAAACTCAACCTGTTTGAACTTAATACTTGAATGTCTAACTTAAGTGTAATCTGTAATGGTCTCACATTACCATACTGTCATGGCGACCATTATTAAATGCGTGTTATATTAGGTCAGTTATTTAACTCTTGAGGAAAACTCATTGGTAAATATTCTACTAACTAGTA